AGGAACTTCTATCTCACTAGGACAGTGGTGGTGAAGCTATGGCATGTGTGCTGTAGTGGGTAGACAGAAATTTCAAGCAAACTCTATCCGGAAAAATAAATGACCTGTGTGTAACATTTGAGAAGACAGAGTATGAAGGAATGACAAAGGACAGTACAGCTGGTAGTTCTGAAAATGAAGTCCTTAAAGTGTGGAATTCTCTGCCAAACAATTTTAAGTCAATGAAAGTACTTGGGATTGCTTTTCTTACTTTGTTTGGCTCATCTTATGCTTGTGGGTAGCTGTTTTCAGCTTTGAATTATATCAAATATGATACAAAAAACATGATCTGAGTATTACATGTGTTGCTCTCAAACTAATGAAGTATGAGGGCCGGGGATGTAGCTCAGTGGCGCCATGCCTGCCTCTGATGCAAGGTCCTGAATTCCATCCCTGGTACTGGGGGTGGGGGGGACAAACAACAAACTAATGAAGTATGGGCCAAGGTTTGACAAATTATCAGCACTCACACAACAGCAAAGATCACATTAATTGTGCAAAAGTACACTGTTCTGGTTTGTGTCTAGATGTCCCCCCAAAAGCCTCATGAAGTCATAGGCTTTTTCAGAGGTGTTTGAATATAGAGTGTGTGATGCTGGGATTAAGTGTGTGTGATTACTAAATCAATCCACTGATTGGTTTGGCACTGCCCTAATCCTGGTAGTCTGGGTAAGATAAAAGGGGAAGAAAGACACTGTTACAATCCCTTTGTAGCTTTTGCTGTCTTCTACCACCATGAACTGTTGCCCCTCTGCCATGTGCAACCCTGCCTTAGAGCCAGCCAATTATGGACTGAAACCTCTACCAACTGTGAGTTAAATAAACCCTTTCCCCTTTAACTTTGGGTGTTGGGTATTTTTTTCTCAGCAATGAGAAAAGTAACTAAGACACATGCCAAATGCAAACTTTTACCTTTCAATAAAAAGCTGTATCACTGAAAGTTCTGTTATTGTTTTTCTTTTAAAACAAAAGATGCTAATGTATAAGTTGCTTTTTCTAAACCAAAACTTGAGTATTCAGGTTTAATTGCACTTTGCAATAAATAAGTGGGTTTTGGGTTGCAGTTTGGGCACTTGGTCTCTAAAAGTTTCACCATCACTGCACTAGGAGTGAGTTCTACCCACTTTGTCAGAGGTGAGCAGCCTTTGTGTGATCAAGCTCTTGCATCCCCCTTCACCCTCGTACTTGCTGTGGCTCAGTCCTCCTGGCTGTTCTCAGCACCATACTTTTTCTGCCTCTGGACTGTGCACAAGCTTGTTCCTCCACTTGAAATATTCTCCTGTCATTCCTCTCACCCCCAGCTGTAGCGAAGATTGATTCTTCTTCATCCTTTAGGTCTTAGTTTAAATATCACCTTCCAGGACAGAACTTTTTAAATTGCCCAGTCTAAAATAAGTTGTTAGGACACAATTTGAATTATTGATTTTCTTGTTTATCGGTTCTCTTGTCTGAATGGTTCACCACTATATCCAGCACCATGCTTTACACAGTCTTGGGCCCTGCATCAGTCAGAATAGGCTAAGCTATGCTGCAGTAACAACCAACTTCCATATCAGGGCTATGGTGTCAGTGTAATTTGAATGTACCTGAGGGCCCACAGTGATTAAAGTATTAGTCCCCAGGATCATGCTGTCGGGAGTTAGGAACCTATAGCCTAGTGGGAGGTCCTGAGGTCATTGAGGACATGCCCTTCCTTGGAAGGGACTGAAGGACAGCAGCCTTTCCCTGCTTCCTGAATGAGATGTGACCACTCACTTGTACATGTGCTCCTGCCAAGATGTCCCATCATTAGCTGCCCTTTCCAGAGGCCAAACCAATGCTCCTTCAATTGGTTCTTGGTCTTTGAAACTCTAAAATTATAGGCTAAATAAACATTTCCTCTTTATAAGTTAGTAGCCTTAGGTATTTTGTTGTAACAGTGCAAAGCTTATGGATACACTTAGTGGCTTCAATCCATAAAGGTTATTTTCAGTCATGCTGAATCAAGGGGTTGTACTCATTGTAGAAGCCCAGGATGATGGAGAAACCACTCTTTAAAATATACCTAGTGAGGGCCAGGGATGTAGCTCAGTGGTGCTGCTCCTGCCTGGCCAGCAAAAGGTCCTGGATTTGATTCCTGGTACCGGAAAAAAAAGAAATGTCTAAAATATCCCAGTGACTGTACTAGGGACAAGAGTGGTCTTCAGGGTTTCACACTGGCAATTAAATTCTCCAGCCTAGAAAGGATATTTCTGCTCACAAGTCATTGGGTAAAGCTAGTCATATGGCCCCACTCAACTACAGGCAGCTGAGAAGTCTAATTCTATCCAGTGCCCAGGGGAGAGAAGTGTTCGTCAAACAGCGCTAAAGACTCACAGAGCTGGCTGTGATGGCACATGCCTGTAACCCTAGTACTCTTTTCATATAGAGTCCCATATTCACCCCGTATCTGCTCCAGAGGGTAGGAGGCGGGAGGAATACTGAGTGAGGTGGATTCAGACAGCAGTGGCAGCACCCTTTTTTGGGAGCAGCTGTTTCACACAAGACACCAGTCCTGAAACATATAAAAACATATCCTGCCAGGAAAGGACACCGAGAGGCCTCTGGCCTTAGCTGCCTCTGGGATGGCTCATGCCAGGTGTCAGGGATTTCCAGCCATGCTGATCATCTCATAGCCGAACTCTGACTCCTGGCAGAGCCTAGGGCTTGAGCAACCAGAATACAAGATCCCTAGCAAGACCCTGAAAATCTCTCTAATCCACTGCAGCTATGGAGAGAACACTCCAGGCACTCCCTCCTTCCAAAGTATTTATTTAGTACTGTGTGAGTCTTGGTTTTTGTTTTGTGTTGAACACAGGGTCTTCACATTGAGCTACATCTACAGCCCCTTTTATTTTATTTATTTTTTTGGTACCAGGGATCAAACTCGGGACCTTGTGCATGTGAGGCAGGCATAGTGCCACTGAGCTAAATCCCTGGTCCAGCCCTTTTTATTTTTTTTGGTACCGGGGATTGAACTCAGGACTTTGCACTTGTGAGGCAGGCACAGTGCCTCTGAGGTAAATCCCCAGCCCTATAAAAGTTTAAATTTTGAGATAGGGTCTCACTAAGTTGCTGGACCTTGGCCTGCACTTACTCTGTCTTCTCCTTGTCCTAGCAAAAGGTGCCTCCCACAGTGGACTAGGACTCCCCTGGCCCTTTACTCACTGCCTAGTGCTTGGGGCTGACTGTAGCTCCCTAGGGCGAGGGCAGGGCTGTATCTCAGAGGAAAGGAGCTCTTCTAGGCCTTTCTCTGCAGACTGGATTCTCCCTCCCTCACTTTCCAAGTCTATGTCTCTCCCACCTGACCTGACTCCCTGCCCGAGAGCTGGGGAGGGACAGTGCCACCTGGCCCCTGTCCCCTCAGCTTGGCCCATGCAGCCTCTCTCCCACCCACAAAAGACAGACCCCTCCCTAGTGAATGGTTATTGGCACCTAGGGGTGGACAGAAAACAAGTGAGCCTTTCCCTGCCCGGTGCATCCCGTTCCTAAATCAAAGAAATGGCAGTCATGCAGCTCATGAGAGGTCAGAGAACCTCCTGTGAGACTGAGGGTTCTGAGGGATGGTATCAACAGGAAAATTCTGGCCTGCGTGTGACCTGATTCCTGACCTACTCATTTCACTGGGGCAGGCTGCTGCAGGCAGCTCTCCGGTCTAACCACCGCACCCCCTCCACCAGGCTGCACACAATTAGTGACACCATGGTACTGATGGGCCTGGGGAAGAAAGGCCACAGCAGGCTGGTTGCAATGCTTGAGTGTACACGGTAACCTCCGATGGCCATTACAGTGTACATGCACACTTGTGGGGCATCCACTAAGTTCCTTCTACTGTATTAATTGCATAGGTGGTATGTGTAATCTCACACAAATCTTCACACCTGCAGTGTGGTGATACTGCTCCTACTGGACAGCTGGGAAACTGAGGCCCATAGTTCAGTACTCCCTCCCATTAAGTCTCTGTGGTTTTGGTTATAGATGTGTTGACTGGAGGGTGAGGATGTGTTAGCTGCTGATATATAGGAATCTAATCAAAGAACAAAGTCTCCAACATGATCCACATCTATTATAACTTACAATTATTAGCAACAACGAAAGAATTATACTGTGCTAGCTGCTGTGGCCATCGCTTTGAACAAGAGAATTGCCTTCCTTAGAGACGAGAGGCCAACGTTTAAACTACTTATTGCAATACTATGTGGCACCCCTTAAAGTTCATAGGGCCACAAAGAGTGTGGAGGCATGGGTGGTCAGTTTTCAGATCTAGAAAGGAGGTGGGCGACTCAGGAAACATCAACCTGCAGTGAAGCTCTATTTGGCCGGAAAATGACAATGGGCTATGAGGGGCGGCGGCAAAGGCAGTCCTTAGGAGAAAACCCACGGTCCTGGGCTGGTCTCAGGCTGTGGCTGGGATTAGGGCTCTTGCTCCCGGGTCAAGTTAAGGCGAGGCATTGGTTAAGTCGCTCCATTATTGCTGATGGGGTGTCTAGCTAAGCCCCTGGCCCGAGTCCTCAGAACTGCCTGGACCCTCCCACATCCGCGCGTCAGCACACTTGGCCGCCTCTTAATTTTCCTTGCTTTCCGTAAGTCAAGTCTGTCCCTTCCTTTCGCTTTTCACTAATCTGGGCTCTCCCTGGCCTATATCCCGCCACCCCGCGCCACTCCGCCCGCCCACGCCCAGCGTCCCCAGACCAGGTCCCAGCTCCGCCACTGCAGCAGTGGTCACGTGCAGCAAGGCCTGCGCCCGAAAGAAGGAAGCAGAGCGGGGCGGGGCGGGGCGGGCCTGCCGGACACGCCCCACCGCTTGAGGAGGCTTCTCATTGGTGAACATCTCCTCTCGGCCTCTCGAGGCTTGGAAGACCCACTTCGGATTGGCTGCTAGGCCTTTGGTGGGCGTGCCCTCTAGGGGAGGGCGAGAGCGGAAGGGAGGGCGCGCTCCCGAGAGGAGGAGTTGCCTGGACGACGCTGAGGGGGGGTGGGGAAGCGAGTGAGGGTTCTCTATGACAAATCGCCTGGGGACTGCTGGGGTCCGGCCCCAGGAGGGGACGGGACGCGTTTAAGAGCGGCGGGCCGGGTGCGGACTGGCGAGGCAGCAAGGCCGCGCGGGACGAGTCCCAGGTAAGGGTGCCACGCCCTGGCAGGGCCTCGGGCCGGGGGAAGTGGGCGCGCCGCCCTGCGCTCGCTCCGTGGCCTTCTGTGGCCGGGCAGCGACTGGGCTCCTCGCTCCCTGAGGCCGGCGGAGGGCGATGCCCGGGTAGCTCCCTGCTCGACTCTAGAGGTCCCGGGCAGGGAGAGCCCCGGCCTCCCTGATCGGCCCGGGGCTGGGAAAACGGGGGCGGTGCCACCTCTTCTCCCTGGTGGCTGCTTCTTCCCTTTCCCACAAATGGCCACTGCTTCCACTTCCTGGCCTTTTGGGCCTCCCGCTCTACTTCCTCAGTCCCTTTAGTCCCCGCTTCGGGTAAGATAAGTGATAAAGTGTTGCAAAAACTTATTGTTACCGTAGGAACTTGTACTTGGGGTGACCTGGGGCCCAATTCTAAAAGTTTTTTTTTCTTTACGTTGTTTGGTTTAGTCCTGTCTTGCAAAGGACTCCCTTCCCCTCCCCCAGTTCCTTTCCAACAGGGACTTGCTTGCTCCGAAATTGGCGTTCAGAGGAAGTCCGGTGGCTTTAACTGGTCTTTTTCTGCCCTCTTTAGGTGTCTGGGGTTGGTTCAGAACTGCTGATCGCAGAAATCGCTGTGTCCAGCCTGCCTGTCGGTGTAGTGTCCTTCTCTGTGCGCGCATTTTCTGGAGAAATGGTGGTGGTGGTGGGGTGTCCCTGTCAGGTGGACTGACTTAGAATGGTCAATGAAAGAGACTTGGCTGATTGTTCATTTGAGTTGTCTGTGGCTTGGCTTCAGTTCTTGTAGAACAGAGAACTTTCTGCTCTGTCCTGGTTTCCTAACCTCATTTCTTCATGTCAACTTTTAGGGATGGATAGTGGGCACCGATTATTGGAGGGGATAGCATCTTTTAGATGTGCGAATGACCAAACTTCTAAGCAGAGCAACAGGATTCTTGGATGTCAAACCCCAAAACAAGACCAGGCAGTGTTCCTTAAACCTGGAGCAATAAAAACAGAGTATCAAGGTTCTCAGAAATGGGGTAACCAAGAAAAGCGATGCTGAATATTGGAAAGGACGAGAGGTGGGGTTTGAATACATAGCCTCGGTGCTGGTTCTAGAACTTTATTAGTAGTGTGATCTTGAGCCTTCAGAGTCAGCTGAAGAAGGTGATAATGTTTATCCTCATTGTTAATAATAAGTGAAATAGGGAGCACTTAAGGTGTTACTTGTGGTAGTGGGCCCAGTGCTGTGGTTTGGATAAGTGTTCACCAGGGGCCTGTGTGTCAAGGGCCAGTCACCGTCCTGTGGTGCTGTTGGGAGACATTAGAACTTTTAAGAGGTGGGACCTAGGGGGAGAATTAGCTCACTGGGATGTGCCCTTGAGAGGATATTGGGGACCTGACTCCTTCCTATCTCTCTCTGTTTCCTGGCCACCATGAGCAGCTTGCTCCTTCACGATGTGCTGCTCACCACAGGCCAATTGACCATGGACTGAAACCTCCCCAACTGTGAGCCAACTGTGAGCTGTGCTGGGGATTAATGCATGCTAAGGAAGCTCTGAGCTACATTACCAGCCCAGCCTATCTTCTTTTTAAATTCCTTAGGAATTCGTCATAGTACCAGAAAGAAAGCTGAGTCTCAAAAGTAAGAAGAAGCCAAGGATACACATCCCTTGAGGGTGGTTTTAGTTGTATTAGCTATGTGCTTTATTCTGACCACATCTGAGTCTTTCTTTCCTTCCCTTTTATGCTTTTGGTGCTGATGATCAACCCAGAGCCTTGCACATGCTAAGCATTTAATCTACCACTGAGCTGGACCCTCAGCCCCTTTCCTTCCTTTTCTATTCATATTATTTCCTTTGGAAACAGTGGATACTCTTATCTGAGATCCCAGTGAGATTTTCCTGTGCCCGAAGAGTAAGCATTTTCCTAGGCTTTTGTATGGAAAAAGTGTGGATATGAGTTACTGGATATCTTTTGGGAAAATGAGACTTAGATATATCGAGACAGAAATACAAGAATTAGAACTGTCAGTGGGATCTGAAGAGGTTGCAGGAAAAGTAGAAATATTCTAAATTCTTGCCTTGAAATTCTTCAAGGTTCTTGCCTTGGCTGAAGATGGTTTGAGACTTCGTGAAAAATTTTAAACCTGAGAATCAAGATAATCCTTTGTACCTTAACTCAACCACCCCACCTCTTGCATTGATTACTAAATTCTTGTCTAATTTATGGAAGTCAGAAATATCACTGGGGACCTTTTCTGAAAGCTAGGTTTGAGACAGAGTAACAGTCTAGAACTCCAGGCTTGGAAGAGATCTTGGTGAACTCTCTCAGAAGGTTTTCAGTATAATTGGTCTCAAGATAAAATACAAGAGTCCCATTTTTCATTGGCTCCAATTACAGTAAGTCCCCAACTTATGAATGAGTTCTCTTTCGGGAGAATTATAAGTCAGATTTGTTTGTGAGCCAACACTGAGTCTTATACAGTACACCTGTGAAGGTTTGCAACTCGAATGTTCGTAAGTCGGGGAGTTACTGTACTTTTCTTTTTGGTACCAGGGAGTGAACTCAGGACCTTGTGCTTTCGAGGCAGGCTGGGGAACCACTTGAGCTAAATCCCCGGCCCGAGTTACTGTACTTTTAAACAGCTCCTGCTGTTAGACATGCAAGACACTTGAGTGGTTTTTGTTGTTGTTGTTGTTGTTGTTTAAATGATGCATGTTGTTGAGAAGTCTTAATGTTTGATCAGAGAGAACAGTGTGTTGGAGAGAATGGACCACTTCCTTAATTAGGTGATCGGTTATGGTGAGGAGGAGGAGAGAAACCATCCTTAAGCATCAATTACTCATTGATCTAACTGAAATGTAAACATCTGGCCTTGGAGATTTGACTATGAGCTGTCTCCTTTAGCTCCTCAGTTCTTTTGGTACCTAGGAATAGAAACAGGGATGTATGTGTGGATGTATTCTTAGGTATTCCAAACAGTAGCCGAGCCAACAGGTGAGAGGGCATATGTATGAGCTTCTGGATAGCAAGAGCGGAAAGAAAGATGTAGAGTATGTGGAAGCTCAGTGTCAAAGAGCAGAGGTATATGTGGATACTGTGACAACTACAAAATACCAGCTAGGTCTCAACTTCAAGTTTGGCACTTTAAAGAAAAATGGCTCCTTACAATTTTCCTGAGTGTCCTCTTGAGAGTTTTCTTCATGATAGTCTTGGGGTGCTGGGTGGAATCCAGGGCTTCATTCCGGCTAGGCAAGTGCTCTACCATTGAGCTACACTCCCAAGCCAAGAGGTGTTTTTAAAAATTAAAATATAAATGCAGAAAAAGGTGCCATTAATTGATAATATCTAATATGTTGTTGAATTGCTTTGTGGATAACTTACAGCATATTTTAAGTCCACTGGATTGGTAATTGACATGGCAAGCTAGGCCTGGTCAAAATTAAGATATTCCAAACTGTATAATTTTACTTAGTGACTGGCATGAGTTGAAGGACATACAATTGTTTGGCTTCTGTGGCTGGCTACCTCTAAAGTTGATCTGCCTTCTCAGTGAACTTTCTATTGTTGTGTAACAAATTTCCCTAAATTTAGCAGCTTTAAACAGCACCGTTTCTGAAGTTAGGAAACTTAGCCTGGTGCTTTGGTGGGTCCCTCCTGAGCTGCAGTCATTGGAAGGCTGGACTGGGGCTGAGGATCTGCTTCCAAAATGGTGCACTTGCATGGCTGTTGGCTGGAGGCCTCAGTCCACAAGATGTGAGAGCCTCTCCCCAGGGCTGCTTCGAAAGATGGCAGCTGACCTCCTCTCCACAGCTAATGGCCTGGGGGAGAGAGAGAGAGAACAGGGTAATGATCAGGATAGGAGCTGCGCTGCCTTGGTATCTAGTCTTGGAAGTGACTTACTATTGCATAGACCACCAGTGCATAGACCAAACCTGGTATGGTGTGGAGAAGGACGACCGGAAACACCATTGGCATTCTTGGAGACTAGCTAACCACTTTTTTTTTTTGGTAAGGTTTAGATCAGATATTATTGAGAAGATCTTTAAGATACTTAGTATAGTATGTAAGAGATTAAGACACAGCTGGAGTTTTTGCTGTTTTTAGAAACTTTAGATATTATACTTGAAACTTTGTTCTTTGTTCTGGTTTGAATTGTCAGATGCTAAATTTAATTAGCCAAATATGCAGTAGCTTTGGAAATTAGAAATTTAAATCTTGCTGGTCCCTAAACCAAATGGAACAGCTGAATTTTTTAACCCAAAAACAAATTGGTACAAAATTATTGCCAAAGTTATCTCCTTGAAAACAGCTTATAATATCATTAATGATCTGTGTATTCTTAAAAATAAAGCTCACTTGCAAAGTAGCTGAAAAATTTTGGAGAAATTAAAGCCTCCCTCCCTCCTATTATTTTTAATGGTTGGGAGGTGGGGTTTTTTTGCCTAATGGTTCTTCATTTCTTTTTTTTTTTTTTGGTATTGGGCATTGAACTCAGGACCTTGTGCTTTCGAGGCAGGTGGTGGCACCACTGAGCTAAATCCCTGGCCCCAGTTCTTTCTTGGAGCTCACACATTTTAATGACCTGCCTGGGTAGAAAGACTTTAATTTTTTAGCGTCCAGGTGAAATCTTCCTGAGTGTCTACAGGTGGAAAGAAGAGTTTAGAACTCCTGAGGCTGAAGCCTGGGTAAATAACCTCTACATTTCCTTTCATCTCTAAAAAAAAATTCTGTTATTCTAATATTTTCATGAAACAAATAACCTTTGAATGAATTTGAATGAAGCGTATTTATAACAGAAAATCACATCAATCATATTAAATTGTGAGACTCGCTTTTGTTCTTCCCAACCCAGTTGAAGATTGTTGGAGTCACCATCAGGCAGAGTTGAAAAGTCAGCACAATTTGCATTTCTTCTGCTTCCTAGTTTTGGCCCTTTCCCCATGCGCTGCCCTAATTTATGAGCTAATATCTTTGTTTCTTTTGTTTTATCCTACCTTTTCCACTATCC